ACGAGTAACAACTCGAGAAAATCACGATATATAACGATGCTTAATCGGGTAAATATGTGAGGGTGCCGCTACTCTACTACCGCTGCTTATCCCCCCGGGATGCGGGTCGAACAAGGCAGGTGGGTGCGCAAACCACCCGGCGGGCACAACACCCTCTGAGGATATCCATGCGCTCGGCCGGCAGACCGCCAAATATGGGAGGAAGAAGCAGCAGAAGGGCAAAGAAATGCAGTACAGTTTCACTCTGTATGGGGCTCTCCTCTCTTCGAGTCAGTTTGGCACATTCTCACATACTCAAGGTTCCAGTGGGTTTGAAATGTCGAATTCGATTTTATTCTTCTTCCTAACCTAGGTATTAAAGAGGAGACGTTCCCATCCTTTCCTGCTAGCCTCTCTGTTCTGACCCTATTTCCTTTCCGTCTTCGATCGAGAAAATTGGATTCGAATTGACAACGCCACAAACACACACTAGAAGGGTATTATGGCATGAACGCAAAGAGAAAATGCAGTGGGCAAAGTCCGGACTCTGCCCCCTCTCTTTCTCTCTTGAGAAAGGATTGAGCCAATCCTGAATGCCTGTAAACCCGATGGATCTCCTGCGACAACATCATTCTCATGTTCCCGCGAAACCAACCAAGGTCCAGCCCACAGATTCAAAGGCATGTAACAAAAGGAAAAAAAGCCACGAATAGAGAATCAAACCATGCAAGCCCTAAAATTATTCCTTAGGCGGCTGCGGTCTTGGTCTCCTCCTTGGCCTGAGTCTTGTCATTGATGCTCAAGTCGGCAACGGTTGGAACCTCCGTCTTCTCAGCCTCAGCAGCAGCAGCCGCAGGAGCAGCATTGACGGGCTCAGAAGCGACGGCGGGCTCGCTGACGGCAACCGCAGGAGGGGTAGTCTCAACCGCCTTGGTCTCAGCGGAGACAGCGGAGGGAGCCTCGACGGTAGGCTGGGCCTCAGTCGCAACAGGCGCGGCGACGGCGGGGGCAGGAATAGCATCAGCCGCGGGCTTTTCGACAGGGGCCTCAGCCTCTGTGAGCTTGACGGTCTGGCCGGTGGTCTTGATGCCCTCAGCGTTTCCGCCGTACTCCTTGGGGAGCGAGTCCTTGTAGGCCGGGAGCTCTCCACCCAACTCGTTACCATAGCCGAGAGGGTGGAACTTGGCGATGGTCTTGGGAGCGAGGAAGACCTTCATCGCCTTGAAGACCCAGCCCATGAGAGCGGGGATATTGACGAAGTACTTGTGGACGAGAAGCTCAGGGTAGGCCATGGCGAAGATTCTAATGGTCTCTGAGGAAGCGGCCTTGACAGCGGGATCCATGCGGAGGAAGCTGACGTTGAGGTAGTCGTGAACCTGGATCATCTGGTAGGGGTCCTCGCCGCCATCAGAGATGGCGGTCTGGACCTTGTCGAGGTTAAGCTTGCGGACGCTGAGCTCCATAAGGGCAGCGCGCCACTTGATGAACCTATGTAGATGTGTCAGTCGAATTCTATTTATGCGATACTGAAATTCTCATTTGCTTGGGTTGTTACTCACTCATCGACGTTGCCAAAGGTGGCCTTCTTGTCCTTGACAGCTCCGTAGATGTTCCAAGTGATGATCATCTCCTTGCCCTGGGCGTCCTTGTGGGTGGTGACATAGCCGAGATCACCAAACTTCTTTCCATCGAAAGTGACCTCATCAAGAAGCTTGCCAGGGTTAGTGTCACGACGCCAGATCAAAGCCTTCTGGAGCTGGTCAGCAGCCTTGGAGACATCTTCGTCGTTGGCGCGAAGGAACTTTTGCAAGACGACGGTGGTGGGAACGTGGGTGTCGTCGGAGAGCTGCACACCCCACATCTCGTTATGCTTGGCCTCGGTCAAGATGGCGGGAAGCTTCTCAAAGAGCGAAGACAGGGGAGTCTGGACCTTCTCGACGGGCTTCTCGGCAGCAGGAGCGGCGGCCTTCTCATCAGCCTTCTCCTCCGTCTTCTGAGCAGCGGCAGCGGGCTCCTCAGTCTTCTGCTCCTGCTTGACCTCAGGGGTGACGGCAGCAGCAACGGCGGCGGGCGCGGGAGCGTCAGCCGAAGTCGGCTCCGCGGCAGGTGCAGCGGTGGCCGGCTGGGCCTCAGCAGCAACAGCTGGGGCAGGTGCCGCGACGGGCGTGTCGGTGGTCTGGGCAGACATGATGGGATCAGGAAAATCCGTGAGTGAGATGAGTCTGAGAGTGAAAGTGAAACTGAGAGGGTGTCAAGGAATGAGTGTGGGAAGTGAAGGGTGAAATTTCCGAGAGTGACAGCTCCTGGCTGGCGTCTTTTCGTTCGGAAAAATAAGATGATAGGAAAAAAAAAGTTCAGGTCGGTTTTTCTGCCCCAGCCCCTCTTGCTGCAAAGTCGCGTCAAGTTGCCTCAGGTGTGTACGAGAGTGTGTGTAAAGTAGGTAAGGTAGCGTGCGTGTGTGCGCGTGTGTACTATCTGTCCCGGTCTGTTGGGGTGACTATTATTATTATTTTTCCCTTTGAAAGTGAGCGTGTTGTTGGGTAACGAGGTAAGGTTGGCAGGCAGGCAGGCAGGCAGGCAGGCCAGGCGGTAAGATAAGGTAGGTACGATGAGCGAGAGGATGGCAGTATGAAAGGGAAGGTACGTAGGAATTGCAACTGGCAGGTACGAGGTGCGCTCGGGTACTAAAAGTAATTGAATCTGATGGGAGACGGAAAGTGGCAGCAACAAACAGACCACACACACCACACAAGAAGCGGCAACGTCAAGTTGTGGCAGCAACGGCAACGGGAAAGAGCAATGGAACCCAAAATCACCCTGTCCACTTCATGTTCCAAGGACCAAGGGGGGTCACTCCCATCCTTACTCCCATCACCATCTAAGGTAAGGTAAAGTAAGGTATAAGGTACCTTACCTTGAGTTTTCCGTACCTACCTTACCTATTCTTACAACTTCAGCCCAAGTACCTAAAAGTAAGGTACCTGCCACCTCATACTTCTACGCCAGGCCGTTGCCTTTCAACCGTCTCAAGTGCCCTGTGCGTTGCTTCCGGGGAAACTCGAGGTATCAACCCATCCAGTTGGGTCATGTCTTTTTGATGACAATGATGCCGCCGCCGCCACTGCCACTCACTCTTCGTACTCTCACATCCAATTCAAAAAAACAATCTCAGCTGGGCTGGGCTGCAGTCCTGGCCTGTGCAGACGGGAGAGTGGAGTGGAGAGGACCCCCTTTTTCGCAGGTGATTTGCGCCTTCTGTTTCGACGGAGCTTGGATGGGGTCACAGTCCTGACATGTAAACTCCTTGTCCTCAACTTCCTTGTCCCTAGTTGTTTCTTCCTTTTTTGTTTTTGTTCTTGCTCCATCCAACGAAGCTTCATGAACCAAGGAAGGCACTTGTTGTTGTTGAATTTAATATATGATACCGATTTTCCCTGGCGGGAACTTGTAAATTGAGCAAGGACCACTGCCTTGACAAGCCATCCCTACTATGTACCACGCCGCGAGTTTCCACTACTCGAGTCACTCGACCTCATCACTGATCGATGGACCGATGTGACCTCAAAGTCTGTGGTGCTTCAATATGCTGTATTAGGTAGGCAGAGGGAGCACGATACGAAGACTTGGACCACACGACGAAGTGAAGGCAGCACGCTGCACGAGTGATGGACGCCTCTCCATCAAAACGGATATCTCATCAAACCCTTTCCACTCCCAGGGCCCCAAGTACCTCCGATCTTCCAACCTCCGGGCCATGCAGTGCCAATGTGCCCCGCCATAATCAGCCGCCGCCGAATGCCGCTAGCCAGTCGTCCGTCCGCGCCGTCAAATGTTTCAGGGGCTTTTTTGTCCTTCTTGTCCCTGCCGCAGACCATTGAGTCGGTCGTCCAGGTTAGTGCAAGCGTCGGGCCAAAATAAGTACGAATACCACTGGAAGTTATTACCATCACCTCCGAGCCCGGTGATCTCCCAAGCGACGCTCCGGTACCGTCTAAGACCAAAACCTACGATTGAGGAGGAAGGCACGAAGGGTAAAAGGGCCCCGCTCCGTTGGCCCGTGCCTGAGGTAGGTGCTTTCCCGTCAACAAATCTACTAGAGAAAGACCACTGTAGCGGGTCGGTAGAGCGCCTAAGGCACCTTAGCAAGGCCATCAGATGCCCACTGAGGGTCGCCCTATCGAGCTCCCTGGGCAGGTTGCGCCTGCTGCGTGCAGGACAGATGGACCAGCTGCCGCACGATGCCGGGCGATGCCGCTCCAGGTTTAGGCGGTACCTGCAGCTCTAAGTGCACTCTTCTCCACCCCCCCCCCCCCTTTGCGGCATTCTGACTGGTCTATCAGCCAAGAGTCCCCCGTCTGGTGCCGGCTGACATAAGACACTCCACTCGCCAACTTCAACCTCAACTGCACGAATGGGGACGTTTGCCATCACCCAGTCAGCCCTTTCGACGCCATCACGCCGTCTACACGCCACGCGAAACTTACGCCAGCCTACCTGACGTTGTCCCCCCAACGACGGGTTGACGGGAATATTTCAAACCGTCAAGAACAAAGGAAGGAAAGGGGGGCCCAACGGCCGGGTACCAGAAGTTTGTAGAGAACTGCTCTAGAGGTCTTATTGATCGGGTATAGAGAATTTCAACCACTCGAACCCGCTATCTCAGTAAGGTAATCTCAAAAGCCTATCCTCCATCTGTGAAAGAAACCCAGAAACATCCATAGTTTCCAGATGTCAGCGTGCGACAAACCAAAGGACTCCATCCTGATTTCCGAGTCCTCCATCCTGTCCTTGACTCGCCCAAACCCCCAAAGGATAGGAAGCCAAAGAAACATCAGCAGAATGCAAAACCATGAGAAAACCTAGGCCCAACCGCCAAGCCAAGTGCCTTCCGTAAGAGCAAAAGTGCAGATAAGCAGAGCTAAAAGGAGAAACCCGAAGCAGTGTGCAAACTTCATTCGTCGAAGCCATCTCGGCACCCCATTTTCGCCTCGTCTTGTTTCCCAGGTCTGTTGTACTCGACATTAGTGACCAAGAGTGGGAGTCAGGGCGCGGCGGATGATCGCCTCAAGCGTCTGGTACTCGTGCATGGCAAGAGTTGCAAGAGTCATGCGGTCGAAGTCAGGTCCGACACGAAGGTTCAGCTCGCGCCAGAAGAAGCCAAAGTAGCCGTCGGTGGCATCGCCGATATTGCACGTCTGGCACTTCTCCTGGAACGACTGCATCTCTAGGTTGCGAGTAGTCTCCTCGCGGATAACGGCAAGGTACCACTGCCAAAGACGACGGGTTAGCTCAAACTCTTCATTCCCGAACCATGAATCCAGAGGAAAGACCGTATGACTTACCTCGATGACATCCAGGGGAATGCCATTCTTGGGGACCAGCACGTAGAGGTGGCGCCAGCTCTCGGCAAAGCGCGGCTGACCAAAGGAGCGCTGCTCCATCTCGCTCATGTCGACAATGAAGGCAATGTCGTCCTTCTGGGTAATCGAGAAGCCCTCGCAGCGCATCGCCGCGGCGACGACTCGCTTGACTAGACGGTGAGTAAGGTTGACCTCGTCACGCTTGTCGCGGATGTTGCCCACGAGGATGCGAAGAAGATCGCACGTAGCCTTGTACATGGCATGACGCTGCTGAATAGTGACGTGGTTCTTCATCTGCCAAGGGAACTTGGTCAGGGTGCTAATGAGGCACTCGAAAGGACGCTGAGGGCACTCCTTCGAGAAGGGAGACTGTAGGATAGTTAGCCACAGGCCCATAAGCACACGAACTGAGGGGACTTACGCGGTGGGGAACCTCGACATGCTTGACGAGCATAGTCATCTCCTCGTTAGACACGAAACCCTTGAAGTTGTCCCAAGGCTCCTCGTCGTTGTTGGGGAGGATGTGGGGGTGAAGACCAGCCCAGAATACACCCCTGGCGTTGGGGAACAGGTCCTTCATGAGAGCGGCCTGACTAGAAAGTTCAATCTCGACAGGGCGCTGGCCGATGCGGGTGACTCTACCACGGTCGAGGTTCTGATGATGCTTCTCGACGGCCTTGGAGGCATCCTCAAGGGTGTCGAACTCGACGTAAGCGTCAGTGGTCTTGCCAGTGACACGCTCCATGATGATGTGAACAGGCTCATCCGTGTCATTGAGCATACGGGAGTTCCGACCCAGGATAGCAATGATCTCGGAGCGGTTGGTGACGAAAGGAATCTGGTAACGTGTTAGTGTCTATGACAATGACGACGAAAGGCCTTGGGGTGAACAAACATTTCCAATCTTGATGACGCCGCGAACCACGAAGTGAGAAGCGCGGGGGGGAGACTCAACGAACGGAAAGTTCACTTGGTGCAAGGCCTCATTCGCGGTAGGTCGACCAGTGGGACCACCGGTGAGACGGTTCAGCTGCGTCGATCGCTGAGCCCGGATGTAGTCAGGCACCGTATCGCCATAAGTCGCAATAACTTCCTCAAGCTGGTAGCCACCCTGAAAAGTACCCTGGTAGGGGGCCTGGTAAGGAACATGATACGGAACGATTGCCGAACTGTTGCCAGCAAGAGGCATAGCGTGAAGCTGCGGTTGGGACAATCCCGCCTGCTGGGCAGGAGCAGGCATGTTCTGGACGTTGGCAGCATGTCCTCCGTTGTTCGAGTTGGGCTGGTGAACCTGACCGGTGGTATTGTTCGGGACGGGCGGCTCAGCATCGTCGCGAGGAAGATTGTCGAAGTGCAAAGTGTCTCCTGTAGCTGCAGGGAAAGGGATCTGGCCAGTCGCGAGCAAGTGGGTGGTATCGATCTGCGAGCCAAACATAGGCGGCTGAGCAGCGCCAACGTGTGAAGCTGAAGACACGAAGGGGTCCTGAGTGCCCGAAGCAGGAGTATTGACACCATTGTGCACCTTGATCAAGTTGAACTTGGGAGGCGCTCCAAGGTGGCTCATCGTGCGTGGAGCGAAGTTGCGTGGCTCCGTCATGAGACCAATGTTACCGACACCCTTAGCCTTCGGGGTATCGCTGCCGGGACTGGTTTCAAAATCATGATCATCATCAGCAGTCAGATCACTGACTTCCTTGCCGCCCTGGTTGTGAAGCAAGCCAACGTTGTTCTGGCGGACAGGGGTCTGGATGCCCAAGTTGCCCATGGAGGAGCTGCCAGTGAGCTGCCCGTGGTTCGCCTGGCTGGGCATCTTCGGGCGTGTAAGACGATAGCCAGTTTCGACTGGTCCATCCAAGGAGGAAGCTGCACCGTTCGAGCCAGATCCAAAGTTCTGGGCGGGGATCGACAAATGGCCCTCGGTCTTGCCGTTGGTGCCAAGATACTGACGCGTACCGTTAAGCTCAGCGATCTCAGACTGATCAATCTTGAGGCGAGTGTTAGATCGGAATCTTGCTGATCAGAGAATTTCGAGATGTTATGTATATATACCTTGCTAGTGGTCTGTTGGACCTGAGAGTTGGGAACCCAAGGCGAGGACGAAGGGTTGAGGCTGGAGCCGGCCAAGATGTAATGCTGGCTCTGCTGGCTACGACCGAAAGGATCAGCGTCCAGGCAGGCCCCGCCGGGCTCACTGTCGTGCTCGCCATTGTCAATAGCAGTCTCCGTCTCCATGACAGTCTCCGGCAAGGCGCGAGGCTTGTATGTAAACTGAAGGACACTATTTTGCGCGCGCCGCTGCATCTGCGATTGTCCCATCTTGCCCTTCATACCAGGTGCCTGAGAGTATACCATGATGTGCAACACTCAGGCGTAATCCTTGTTGAGAACAAGGAGAACAAGAATGATGTCGATAAGGGATACTGGTGGCAGTAGATGTGGTGAATGTACGTGATGACAGTAAGTGCTCTGGAAGTATGCGATTAGTGATTGAGTGAGCCACAAATATGAAGAAGCTTGAGAATCAAGCCAGGCAAAAGTATGAAAATAGGCGAGTGTGATCTGGGGACGAAAGACAAGGCGGGAGCAAGCGACTTGAGAAGGTGGAAGCAGAGAATGAAGGCGGGAGCGCACAAGGTGAAGGAGATTAGATGCTAAACGTAAGGTGATGAACGCAGGAGAAAATCTAGCAGATGTGATAAGCTGATGGAAATCGGCGGAAGTAAGGCGAGTGACTCTCCATTGTAGTCGATGAAAGCGACGTCTCAAGGATCGACCCGATAGCGCAATAGCTTTCGTCCGAGAAAGCCTTCGTCGCTTCTCTGGGATCAATCGATAACTCAGGAGCAGGCGAAAGAGACCGGAAGAAATATCATTGCCAAGAAGCAATGCGGTGAAAATTTCATGGATGATGGAATGCGCTAGATGAGTAGAGAAGGAGACAACTTACTCTTACTGCTGGAAAGGTAGACTGGCCCAAGAAAGCAGTTGGAAATCACCGTACAGTGACTTTTGGGTATCTGTTGATGGAAAGTTGTTGGAAAGGAAGATGTGGAAAGGTGAAAGGGATAAGAGCCAGAGGCTTGGGGGTAAAAAAAAAAAACACGACCTCGCCGTCGAGCAAAGCCTGAAGGGACGAAAGGAGGGAGGAAGGGGGGGTGGTGGGACAATAAAAAACCAAAACAAGGTGAAAAGAGCTCTCTGCTGCCAAATCGTTGCTTCCAGAAAGAGAACCTGCGACGAGAAGAAGGGTGAGAAGTAAAATAAAAGGAGGCTCACCAGAGGCTGAACGAGTATCGTGTGAGGCAGGTAGCCCAAACAAGGTCGAGCTGAGAACTGAGCGTATTTTCGGTTTGTGTTGTCGATGAGTAAAGGTCGATAGAATCAGCAGACCCTGTAGACTGTGGAATCAGAGTCTTGAGTACAGGATTGCACTTGAGACCCAGATTGTTCGTCGTGATGATGGGGAAGGGATTTGCTGATTGAGGTTGTGATATGGGTAGGAGAAGTGGAAGGAAGTGGGTGGAGAGAGGAAGATGTGAAGGAAAAAGTGGCTTCTGATTTATGGCATAGAGGGACGCCGAGGCGGCAGCAGGATGGGTGGTGGTGTATTCCATCGTGGCCTGGTGGGGTGGGGTTGAGTATTAGGTCGTGGTTGCATGCCAGGTCAGGACGACGACAGTGACAAGATTGGGTTGCCTCAAGGCGCAAAGACGCTTGTTGAATGAAATTGGTATCAGGCGTCTTACGCTTCTCAGAAAAAGCCGATTCCATCTATACTCAACAACCAGCATAGCCTCAATGACACGGGGGCGGTAACGTTGAGCAGACTATCGTCGGGGCGACTCGATGAAATTGTGTAGCGTCGTCGTCTTTATGACGGCCAGAATGCATCTAGGATTAAAGCTCAATTACCAGCTGTTCCTCGCTCCAGAATGAGGTCGACATAGTCGTTTCCGACCATGTGATACTAAGTCTCGCAATACCCACACGGGCTTCTGACTTTCTACAACGATTCCATGAGTGAAGCAAGGAGTTATATCAGAACACGCAGCACTGACATACAAAATGTGATCGGGAGACAGTTGTGTTCATAACGGTAATTGTTTATCAAAATGGAGGCTCCATGTCGTCGTGCCCACTCGGCCCCGGATTTGCGGACCAATATCAAGGTTGGAACCATAGTGGATCCCGGTATTCCGGGAGCGCTCGAGCCAACATCCAACTGCAACTCATGATTCCGGTCCATGACTTCTACGTGGCCGAGGTCCTCGTTCAAATCACACGATTCTGGCCGTGAGATATTTGAATATGAGCTCTTAGCGTGTGAGACGCGTGTTGTAGGGTATTTTAATCGAACTAAGGGGGTCATCAGTTGTGTCCGCTTGGCGCTGTAGTTGCGACTATGACTTACGGGAGTCAGGAAAGATTCAGCAACGAATCTGGCCCTCGCGTTCAACTGTATATTGTCAGAAACTGCACGGCAGAAGCATCAGGAGTGAAGAAACGTACGAAGAGCTTCATTTCCGAAATCTCCTTGTCAACCTCCTCCATGAATTGAATAATAAAGTCAACTAGCTTGTGCTTCAGCATCTCCTCGGTATGAAAGTTCGTAATCAAGAATGAAATGTCGTATCCCTAGTATAGTAAGTCAGCGTGACAGGTTGATATGGATGTGATAAGCCACGTGGCATTGCAGCTCCCAGGAGCTACGCCAAGTACTTTCGTGCTGTGTCTCATACCTTGATTGGCTTCCTTCTCAATATGAAAAACGACTCGGCTCTCTGCGTCAGGAAACGAGTGAACTTGTGGACGAGGATGTGCTCGATTTCGTCGGCCTGCTTGATCTTGATGGATATCCGCACGGAATTGATACTCGGCTCGATCAGAACTCGCTCGTTTTCGTTTCGGGCAATCGTGAGGGGCGTCAGGAGGACTTCAGGCGATGTTTGAGCCTCGATCTCGGGGACATTGTGACGTTCGGCGGTTTGGGAAGCGAAGTTGGAGAGCGTCAGGGCGGACGTCAGACTGCTCCGGACGGCCTGGAGATAGGGTCGCAGTGATTGAGACTGTACCACAACTGTTAGCAAAGACGCAGGTCCTCCAATCGCAAGCATCCACTAACCATGATGGAGAGACGTGACCGCGTCCAACCTTTGGTGATGCTGAGAGGTTGGAGTTGGATGTTGACCGCGGGGCTCGTGAGGTTGGCTCAGCCGGAAGCCTGACGTTTCGTAGTGGGGCTGGTAGCACCGCCGTACCTTAGCTCCACATCATGCGTAGCTGTCACCGCACTTCGCTGATTCAGCCGGAAGCTATCTCACGTGATCATCGAGCTCCTTTCTTAGTGGCGATCCCCCGCCTGTGCCCTTTACATGAATATTACGGTATATACACTTAAACGTTTGGAATCTCATCTCAGCGGACTAAGGTAGGTAGGCAAGCTTCACATATGGTCCACGATAGACTGTAGCAGTGGGTGACTATTCAATTGCTTAGCATTGAAATGCAGGATATAAATTCCATAAGCTTGACTGGTTTCTCTCGAGACTCCTTGCCCCCGAAGATGCTGGAAGACTTTCGAATGCATGCGGAAGTGTTAGGACCAAGGGCATATTGCCAAAAGCGAATCGGCAGCTGAAACGGACCCTGCAGGTACACCGCTTCCCCGCTACGTTGCCGTGTGGTCCTTTGTACAACCTTGCCTCCCTTACTGCCCGCCCACCTCAAGGTTCCATGCTTGGTAGGTACTGACGCAACCCACCTGGTGCCTTCAACCAACTCGTCCTTCAGCAGCCCGTTTCGCAACGAGGTTTTATTCCCAACACACTGCAAAAGCTACTCCCAAACTCTGCAGTAAGGCCGAACTGAATCACAAAAACAACGATGGCGTCAATACCCGGTAAGTAGCATTACCCAAATAATGCGTCTACTGTTGTCTGACTTGTCACACAGTCACCGTTAGCCACCAAGGCACCAAGTACCAAGTCGAGATCGATACCTCCTCCAATGGCGAAACCTTCAAGTACCAGCTCTACAGTCTGACTGGCGTTGAACCTGAGCGACAGAAGATTCTCGTCAAGGGCAAGCAAGTCAAGGATGACGATGACATGGCCAAGTTCGGCCTCAAGGCCGGCGCCACGCTGATGATGATGGGCAAGCCGTCTGGAGAGAACGCAGATCTCGCTCGACCCAAGGAAGCCGTCAAGTTTGTCGAGGACATGACCGAAGCCGAAGCAGCCCAGCAGGAAGGGGCCACTCCTGCCGGCCTCACCAACCTTGGCAACACCTGCTACCTTAACTCGACCCTCCAGACCCTCCGATCGATCCCCGAACTCCAGACAGCCTTGACCACGCACAAGTCGGGTAGCGGTGGTGCTGGCAGCAGCTTTGGTCTGACTTCGACCGACATTGCCACTCAGCTTACCGATCTCTACAAGAACATGTCGGAAACACAGGGTGCCATTCCCCCGCTGACTTTCCTGAGTACACTTCGCATGGTGTACCCCCAGTTCGCCGAGAAGTCCAAGACTGGAGCCGGTTACGCCCAGCAGGACGCCGAGGAAGCCTGGTCCCAGATCATTTCCCAATTAAAGCAGAAGCTCTCCGAGTCTGAGGGTTCTTCTTTCATCGACAGCTACATGGCTGGAGAGCTTCAGTCAACTCTGGAGGCCGATGAACAGGCTGCCAGAGATGGTGGAGAGGAGGCTGTCAAGTCAAGCGAATCTTTCCTCAAGCTCAACTGCCATATTGATGCTACTATCAACCACCTTCGCGACGGTATCTTGGCTGCTTTGACCGAGAAGTTGGAGAAGAAGTCTTCGGTTCTGGATAGAGACACGACTTACACAAAGAAGTCGCAGATCTCACGGCTTCCCAAGTATCTTACGGTCCACTTTGTACGATTCTTCTGGAAGCGGGAGGTGCAGAAGAAGGCCAAGATCATGCGCAAGGTCACTTTCCCCCACGAACTTGACGTGGTTGAGTTCTGCACCGATGAGCTGAAGAAGGCTCTTATTCCTGTGCGCGACAAGGTTCGCGAGATTCGCAAGGACGAAGAGGATATTGAAAGGGCCCGCAAGAGACGCAAGATCAACCCCGTCGACAGAGGCGATGTTGCTGGAGCTTCTGGAGGCCCCGAGGGCAAGACAGCTCTGGAGAAGGCCAATGACAAGAAGGCCGAGAGAGCTGGAAAGCCTGTGGCCACCACTTCTGATGGCGACACAGAAATGACTGAGACTTTCAAGACCGACGCCGAGGTCGAAGCCGAGAAAGATGCGGCTCTTACTGCTGCGAAGAAGGAGCTCTATGCTCTAGTCAACCAGGATCTGGCCAAGGACGAAGGTGCCAACCAGTCCGGAATCTACGAGCTGCGTGGCGTCGTCACTCACCAGGGAGCAAGTGCCGATAGCGGTCACTACACTGCGTATGTCAAGAAGACTGCCCCTGTCGACCCCAAGACCGGTAAGAAGGGCGAGGAGGACGGCAACTGGTGGTGGTTCAACGACGACAAGGTGTCGGAGGTGACCCCTGACAAGATCGATGCCTTGGCGGGTGGTGGCGAGTCGCACTCTGCTCTCATCTGCCTCTACCGGGCCATCCCTCTTCCGACAATTGATAATGAAGGCAAGACCGAGTAGGAAAATTTAGCTGCTCAGAGCTCTTGAGGGGCATCGACTTGGCGTTTTCGAGCGATAACGAGGTTATGGGAGGCATGCAAAACGAGCCGGTCACAAAGGGATAAAGCACTTTAGGACATAGATAGACGGGTTGACGAATGTAATGGATGTTCTTCATTACCCAAAAGTGGTGATCGCTACAATTATTCCTTATCTTTATGTAAAGCTTGTGAATGGTCTTCTCTTGACCTGATTATACAGAATTACCCATGGTGCCTATCGAGGCCCTACGCGTGGGCTGGTCGCTTTTGCGTTGCCGCTGATCGTGATCTTCTGCCTCGAACTACACAGATCTTGTTGAAACAGCACCCTTTATCCTGCTTGGGTGTGCTTACTACTTGATGCCGAGGTCTTGTTGGCCATGATAGAACGTCCCCACGTCAAACTTTGTACGGCGTCTGTTGTCAACTTTCTGGCTTCTTCACCTCTCCTTCTTTTATCCTCTCATCCAGGAACTCGAGCTTTCTTTCCCATTTCCGGCGCTCCGTGACTAGCCGGCCACGCTGGCCCTGCAGGAGGGAGATCTGCTCGTCATGAGGAGACTCCCAGAAGCTTTGTCGGTCCTGAAGAGGAAGAATCCGTTAGTTTTGATGATGCAAGTTGACGTCTTGTAAATGTGCCTTTACCTCTTTCCATTCCTTTTGTGTCTTCAAGCCTGCGCCATAAGTGGCACCTGTGAAGATGATGGCGGCGCAACCAGCGGCTGTGAGGCCAGCACGAAATTTTGTGAAGCCGCTCATGTTTCCACGGTCTTTGCTTTTGACACTTTCCCCCTCTTCAGCTTCGAAATATTGGTTCCTTCTGCTAGATTTGCAAAGGTGCTTCACCAGTACTCTCTCCAGACTTCTCTCGATTTTTTACTCCTCTTATCGTCCACACCGTTTGACCGTCGGTTTGAGGTGGTCAGTTCGTCGGTCGCGGGAGAGAAGGGGTTCCAACGGGAGCGCGCAGAGACCGACGAGAAGGATGAAGAGGCAGATTCAATCGAAGAGTCGGTGGTCGTAGAATCGAGAGAATTGGCTCGCCTATGGCCCTGGGGTCTCTCGAGCGGCGTTGATGGAGAATGTCGTCGCCGGGTCTTTGCTTCGAAGGGATTGTATTCGCAATCGCAATAAGGAGAACAAGAATCGGTTGTTGAGGTTGGTGTCGGCGTTGAGGGGTCTGTAGCGGGGGCGGGCGCAGCAGAATACGGCCAAGCTGTGAGCTCCAGCGCGTTCGCGTCGGTTGTGTCGGTGCCGGTTATGTCGGTAGTTTCGGTGGCAGTAGTCCAGCCAGGAGTGGAAACGCCGTGGCGGAGGAGGCCCCGCTGCAGACGTTGGCGCCGAGGAAGAAGAGGAGACGAAGGGAGCCCCAGCGCTCTTAGTAATCGTCCTGTCAGAGCCGGGGTTGGCGTGACGTCGTCGCTTCGGGTCATTACTGATGTTGTGGATAATTTCAATCAAGTTGCGGGTAGGAGGGAAAGAAAAAGACTCATAAGAGGCGAGTTCGTGCAACCCGTTACGCCTTTTGAATGAGGAGGAAGTTACAAAATGACCAAAAAGGCAGTTAAACGACCAAAGTGTGCGGGAGACATTGACCTTTTTGTCGATTGCGCCATTACAAACCCCGGAGCGAGCAAGAAGGATTGAAAGATAAGAGACGTCTTGTAAGAACCACCAGGACCCCAACTGCCTTTTTTCCACTGCCCAGGGCATCCTCAAACGGGCTTATTCATTCCCACTTCTACTGGTGCGTTGAAACAAACTTCGTGAGAGCATTTCTATTCTCCCTCCTCTTCTCCTTCCCCTCACCAATCACCCCTACTGCAAAGCAGCGTCCATCCTCCTTTCCTTGAGTCTTCTGATCTCACATTCGCCACAATTCTTTCTTAAACCCCTGGCTCTTTCTCGCCTATTCTCTCCCCGTCAAGCAACGGAAAGTCGCCGCAACATTCACTTTCGAGCAGTGATCACGACCAGGTAGTTCTTGCCCGGGTGGGGTTCTGGTACGAACCCCTGCTCGTTACAGCCCTTGCTGAAACCTTTTCCACGGCGCACCATAACTGAGGATCTTCCTCTGCTACAAGCCCAAAAGCCTTCTCACATTCCCTTCCCATCCCCGTCCTGACCTATCCTGGACCGCATAAAACCAGACAGATGTCACAAAGCCAGATGACGGAGGAGTAGATGGGACGCAGCCTGCGGCAAGTGCACGCGAGAAGCGACGGACTGCTACCGTTTCGATGGCCTACGCTGGGGTCAGGAGAAGATGCGATACAGGGGCTAGTAAGAGGGGAATAAAAGGCTTGTCTTCTTGCTTGTCATCGTCAGGGAGATCAGAAGAAACATCGGACACACGACATTGGAAAGAATATTGAGAAGAGACTCAGCACTGCTGCCCCCGCATAACCTTGGCTCGAATTGGCAGATGTCGTTGGATCTTGGCCTGGACCGTGGATTCGTCGGCCAAAGTTGGCACTTGCAGGAAACGAACCATCGATGAGCTGTGTCATGGCCAGCGCTACCTATGCTTCCACAAGATCTCTAAAGGATATGCGCAGAGCTGAGATGGAGTGCAAAGACGGGAAGAGCGGGACGGCTGGAAAGCCAAATTCGGCAAAAGGCAGAAAAGTCACGTCAAGCCCATCCGCCTCAACTTCCTCTCATTTTCACAACCCGCCATTCCACATCAGAATCCGGGCCCCTTTTCATGCGTTAAACGTCACAAGCACACATACACACGTCAAGACCTCGCTGCTGCTGTGTGACAGGACCAAAAGCTGACTCGGGGCGTCCCTGCGCCTCCCTTCACTAGACCCCGAAGAACACTTAGACATCGGTAGAGATCGCATAACATTTCCCACACACCACCATTCCGAGGTTACATCCGCTGTCAAATCGGCTTTGCGAGACGATTTAACTGCATCCGCCGCCATGACGACTCCCCGCGCATTTGTCATCCGTCACGGCGAGACGGAGTGGTCTCTCGACGGCCGGCATACCGGCAGTACCGATGTCCCGCTCACGGCCAACGGCGAGAAGCGTGTACGAGCCACCGGCCGCGCTCTGGTGGGAAGTGATCGCCTCATTGTGCCCAAGCGAATTTCTCACATGTGAGTTACGTGTAATTATCAAACCGGATGAGGAGCACAACCTACTTCTTCCGTCTCAGGGGTCCAGACTTGCTCTCCACCACATGTTTTGCGGTCTAGCTCCTTCAAGTGAAGTCACTTGGCACTTATAACCAATTCCAACGTCATACTTCCACCCTGAGCTCCTACTGAAGTAAGGTCAGCTACGTCTCCCCTCGCAAACGTGCCCAGCGCACCTTTGAGCTTTTGAACCTCGGCATCAACGACAATCTGCCCTGGAAGGAGCACGGAGAGATCGAGGGCAACGGCCCGCACTGTAACGCCTGCGTCGAGGTCACTGAGGATATTCGAGAATGGGACTACGGTGACTACGAGGGTATCACGTCACCGGAGATCCGTCGCATCCGCAAGGAGCAGGGCCTTTCTGAGAACTGGGACATTTGGCGCGATGGCTGCCCAGGCGGCGAGTAAGTCTATTCCTAAGCCAAGATGTTCTTTTCCCCTGTACGCACGTCAGGTCGTCATGTTTTCCAGGACAGCGTCGGCGGCGATCTAGCCATCTACGTGCTCAGACTCGTCAATGACGCTTCGAGGAGACATTTATATATGATTGACGTGTTGTTAAGTCTCGCCATCTGGCCAGCGGGAATTTGACGACTAATACTGCCTTGCTAATAACCCCCTTAGGAGTCCCCAAGACGTGACAGAACGTCTGGACCGCCTGATCAAGGACATCCGCGACAGGTGGCACAGCCCTGTGATCGGCAATAAGGCCGCGCCCAACGGGGATGTCCTCGTCGTTGCTCACGGCCACATCCTCCGTGCCTTTGCCATGCGCTGGGCCGGCAAGACGCTGCAGGACGGGCCAACGTTTCTGCTCGAGGCCGGTGGTGTCGGTACTCTTAGGTGAGTTTTCGACCAAGGGGTGCGTACTATGTGGCGACGAGCCAGGACTGATTCTGGGATACTACTTTAGTTACGAGCATCACAGCGTTGATGAGCCTGCTATCTTGCTTGGAGGTGCTTTTGCTGTTGATATCGTTGATAAGGAGTAGTGGGCACGGTCGTCTCGGCAGACTCAACGCATGACATTTACGAGTGAGCTCCGCTCGTCTGCAGATAGACAGGTTCAAGCCAGCGTACGAAGCTAAGTTAGATTCATGACATTTTGAGCCTATCGATATCTAAACCTTGGTCCCCCGCGCCAGGAACACCCGCCTCTTCATCCCCTGCCCCGAACCATGGCCGTGATCATGTTCCTTTCCCTCCCGATGGCTATGTCCATGTCCATGATCATGTCCATGCCCATGCCCGTGCCCCCCAAAAACAACACCACTCCCAAGCTCCTCCATCCTAAAATCCCCACCAGCACCAGCCTGCTCAAAAATACTCCTCATCCTCTCCTCCGAAAACCCGTGATGCATAACGGTATGCGCAGCAGGCAACGCATGGTCCATCTTCTCGTGCGGCAGAAAATCGAGGATGATGAATACCCCGCCCGGCCTCAACCTCTCCACCAGCCGGCGGGCCGAGAGATCCGGGTCCTCAAAGTGGTGGAACCCGAGACCGACGCCGGCGACGTCAAAGTCGCGGAAGCGACCGCCGTCGTTGCCGCCGTCGGATGCGAACGCCGCGGGGGATGGATCGGACGGGTCCGTGAGGTTGCCTTGATAGGCGTGCATTTCGTCGGTGGTGAGGCCCTGTTTTGGTCGAGGAAGGTGGTCATGTCAGTCATCAGGTCAGCTGAAAAAGCCTTTTCCACTTCTCGCAGTACTCCCGCGTCTTTCCGCTTCTGTTCTTTTGCCTTTTTTTTTTTTTTTTTTTTTTTTTCCTTTTCGTCTTTTCTTTTCATGTACGTGTCTCCATGTCTCGTGTACTTTTTTGCGGCAACTTGCGCAGGGGCTTGTCATCACGCAATATCTTCCCCGTGCGCCGAGCTGCCCGCACAACCCGAGCCCGCACAGGCTTGTTCGGTCCACGGCCGAGCAACTCAGAGGTAGGGAGGGGTAGAGTGCGGGTTTGCTCTCGAGACGGCAACTTTGTCGAAGCAGGGAAAGATGGGATGAGATGCGATTTTGTGAGATTCAGGGGAGGGGTGGGTAGGGTGAGAGAGACAGAGCCCAAGATTCAAGACTCAAGAGGGGGGGCGGGGTCGGATCGAAAACCGCAAAAGGAGAGTGCAAAGGTTTGCGATTGTCCACGTCATGTCATGGCGGGGTTCAGACTTCAGAGGTCAGCAGGGCTGAGATGAGACCAACATGAGGTGTGAGAAAAGGTGCGAGGACGGACCCGTCCGTCATTCATCGTGGACGACGACGCTCAGACGAGGTTTCTGACTTTCCTTCCCCCCCTCCTTCTCTACACACAGCCACGACAGCCTTTTTTTTTTTTTTTTTCTCACTTCCCCAGAAGATTGTCTGTGCTCTTTGCCGAAACGAGTCCGTTAGCAGGTAGGTATCCGTGTGAGGCGAACGATCCGGTCTCTTTTCTTTCTTGTGTCTCTTTTGTCTGGAGTCGAGCCGAGTCTGGAGCGGCTGGCCCCATGGTCTGGTCTTTTTTATTTTTGCGTCTGGTGTGCGTTCACACCTTTGCTTCGAAACTCTCCCTCCCCTCGCTCTCTTGTCACTTTCCTACTTGGATGCTGGCTTGTACGTCGCGGGCAGAAAGGTAGGGGGTAAGCGGGAAAAGAAAAAGGTGTGGTGTGTATGTAGAAATGACAGTTGAAAGGGGAAACAGAGCTATTTTGAGGCTTCTCTCGCCCTGTTTGAACCAAACATTCAACGTCAACGTCAACAACGTACCTGGTTCTCGGCCCGGGCGTTGTACGCTGCCACCATGTTTTCCGAAATGTCTATGCCGACGCAATGCGTTGTGAACTGCGCGAGGGCCTATTGTGTTTTTTGGTGTTAGTGCAAGTTGCCCAACTATAAGTCTACAGCCCAGGCATCATTTCTGCACTTCAAGTATGCTAAACACTTGAAGAAGGAGAAGGCTAAGGACACGTGGACACAAGAGGGAATGCACGACAGCTGAAACAAGAGCAAACAAACTTGCGTGACGGACAGGAGGTGATTCGTGAGTCGTAGAGTACTCGAGAGGGTGAAGCTCCGCTCACAAACATGTTGTGAGTAACAATAGAAGACGAGAAAGAATCAATATCCTTCGATTTCTAAGGGATACAAAAAAAAAAAAAAAAGAACTCACCCTTGATATCAAACCCGTTCCACAAGCGTAATCAAGAAGTCTCACGGACCGGCCACTCGCCGCCGCCGCCTGCGCTGCAGTCTCGCTCTCATTGTCCTCGTCCTCGTCATCGTCGTCGTCGTCATCATCAACGACCCAATCGGCACCGATAAAGTCCTTGCGCTTGCGAATCTCCTTCTCAAGCTGCAGAATAGTCTTTTCGTACTTCGCGTCGTACTCGGCTGCTAGCTTACTACGCGTGGTAAATTCGTGTAAGTCAACTTCGTGTCCACTCGATGTTTTTTACGTTGCTTGAAATGAGAAAAATGCAGTTTATGAAGGATGGGACACATTGAATAAGAGGTTTCGGTCTTATCGAGTAATTCTCGAAAAAAGGAGAGGGGCTGAGGTGAGTACATCTGAGAGTGGTGATGAGACTCGAGAGGCTTGGGTGTGTTTGTCGCGCTGCACATCTGCAGGAACCCGGGGACGGTTGAACGCGGACAACATTGAATGTCACTCGCCATTCATCCTGTCATGGCGCTCTTCCTTCCTTCAATAGGCAACGTAGGAAACGGTGTGTAAATGTGAAAGTTGTACGTACTTGAAATAAGCCTTGTTGGCGCTGGCAGTATCATTCTCAGCCATGATTGTCGTCGGGCTATATTCGGGGAATGCGACAGTCGGCGGTTGTTTTCCCCAACAGATATCCAAGCGTAGTTGACGTCTCGGTGTGTACTCGGTATGTCCAGGATTATCGAGATCTTGGGGCGGTTCGGAAATTCGTCTTTCTTTTCGTTGTAACCCCTCTTTGGCGTTTGCTGTCTTTTGATTGGAGGAGGAAAGAAGAAAGAGAAGTACGCTGGAGCAGGGGGCTACTGTCTGCAAGTGCCTTACTCAGCTTCAACAAAGTTGCTTGCAAAAATAGACAGGACCGATATGTCAGAGTTTCTTGATCTTCAATGTGATCTACCTTTAGTTCACTGGATGCTGCAACCATTGGGACGTTGCTTTTATTCCTTTTTGCACGGAGAGTTTTCGGTCACTTCGTAGTGTACGTTTGGCTCAGGTCCGCGGAAATGATCCGGCCGGAAGGGGTCCAGCGTTACTATGTAGAAACTCGGCGATGGGGAGGAAAAAACAAAGTCTCCAGTCCACACAAAAGGCTCCGGGAGGTAGTCCCCGAATGGAATGATGAGGGGACCACACACGAAAAAGAGTACCGGAGCGGGGGAATGGGATAATTGTGGAGGCACGGACCGCTACGAGAAAGAAAGACTCTCGTAGAGAGAGCCCTGGCACGGGCGGGCAGCGAGGGAAAGTGACGCCTGAGGCTGAACCCCGCAGGTGAGGTAAGCTGTCTGCCCCTTCCCCCGCTTCAACAGCTTAACAGCAGTCTATCCATCACGTGACTAGATACGTGTGAGGCTGGGATGGCACGGGGGCGTGGAGAATTTCGGGGTAGCTTCAGTATTGTGGACTCTTCCCCCGTTCGGTTGTGGCAGGAGTTCAGTCGTAATAGTGCCTGAATCCAAGGCGGAAGGGGGGAAGGTGTGGAAAAGGAAGAACGGCGAACTAATGGAGATCTGTCCCGTTTCCCCCTCCTCCTCCTTCCCACCCCGAACCCGGCCCTGCCTTCCTAGCAAAGTTGAACGGTACCTTACCTCGCACCGCGTCTGACAAGAAGGTCGCGGCCGCCGCGCCCCAGGTCTCTCGGGGAACCGGACGGGGGGGGGAGGGGGTTGGGTTGGTGGAACCTTGACATTAGAACCCCCTACCTTTACGAATTCATTACCTTGTGGAGGAGGGATGAAGGAGCCCGTCATCATGCACCTGCGGCTGCCTCGTTATTACCTTTTCCAAGGCTGGCTCTCAGGAGTCAGCGCTCGCAAGCCATGGCACATCCCATTGGCATCCACCATGGATCATGGCCGAAACCCTGGAGGGCCGCCGCTTTTTGCGGCGCGCCTTCGTAGCCCACCGAAGCGACCTCGGGCGGGATGCGAAGACGCACCCGGGGCCCAAATCAGGTTACAGCCGCGGACCCGGCAAGGAAAAGAGAGGGGGGGATGGAATGGGATGCCCGTCCGAAATACCCACTGCAAGCGTGGCAGGTTGGACGGCAGGACCTGACTTGACTAGCATTTGCCTCTTCCGTACTCCGTGAGTTCATGGCGCGTGGGCACACACACACACCAACATGCATCGCTTCGCAACCCGGGCAGCGTTACCTGCCGCCGTCGAGTCATACCAAACAGGTACATACATGACCGGCACTGCAAGCAACACGGAGAGACAGAGCAGCGTTGACAGGCCAGAACCGGCCGTAAGTCCCTTGCACCAACGAGTCGTCTATACCACATTACATATCCGTACATGATACGGCAGCGCAAAAAAAAAAGAAGAAGGTATTCAGCCACCGAACAAGGATTGAAAAAGCAAAGACGAACTCTGAATGAAGCTCGAGAGACAAATGCCGGGGGAGGACAACACGGGGCGTGACCGTGACGGGTTCGACTTGACGGTGTGTGACCGACCGGGGCTGACGGGGGCCACCGCCGGGCGTTAGGAACAGACAGGTGCCGTGTACAGGTTTTCTTGGTGGTAAAAAAACAAGCGGATCGACGCCGATCCTGCTGCAGGCCGCATCGGTCCGCAGCTTGTGACTGCAGCACCATGCGGGCGGTGACGGGCCCAAGCGGCCATGCAGCAGCACCAAAGGTCTCAAGGTCGCACGAATATCTTCGGAGGCCGTCTTAGTGGTTCGAGCCCACCCCCTTGGGTGCTACCTGTCATGCAGCTGGCCCGAAAGAGCGCGATTAGGAGCCCAGAGCCCGTCGTGAATGTCCCAGTCGAAGAAGGGGTGGGCGACGTGGTCGATGGCATGTATGCCCGGCTGCCTGGGGGCTGGGCGCCGATGGGGGACCAGAGCCTAGATGAGCCAAAAAGAACCAAAGTACTGTACATGATGCGTCGCCAATGGACGGCTACCGCAGATGGGATGGGGCATACTTTTCTTGTTGGTCTGCAACTTTGCTGCAAGGTGTCGGCAGCCACGGACGCGCGCCCGGGGGGGAGACATGTCGATTTCTTTGGCGATGGGTGGTGAGCAAGCGGGGAGACGGCGGACGAGGTGAGATGGTGGATGGTGAAGAGCTGGTTTCCGGTATGGTTAGCCAGGCGGTGATGAAATGATGAGTAGAAAAAAATACCCCAAATTGAGAAGGAAAGAAAGAAGACGAAGAAGCAACCCCTCCCAGGTACTCCAGCCAGACTGTCAGACAATCAGACCAAAGAAGAAATCCTCACGACCCCTCGTTGAGCGCTTGCTTTTTGCCGTTTCGGCTGCCTTGCTGAGATGGATTGCACACCTTGAAGAGTCAGAGTCAGGGACCCCTAGAAAGAAGCCGCCCATGATGTGTGCATCCCGGTCGTGCTCGGTATCCGTATGGATTGTTGGTAGATACGTGCTCCCGTCTGCTTCCCATAGTATCCGAGTTCAATTGTACCACCGGCCGCCGCCGCTGCCGCCGCGTGGCTTGCGACGACACAGCTGTCAGATCTGACAGGTCATGTCCGCCTCGTTTGTCCACCAACAACAGCCGTTGTATCGCATGCCAGAATCGTCGCCTGGGTCCATGAGCTGCATCACGTAGTCGAGTGGAATTACCCCCGAGAGTGAAGGTCAGCGAGAAGACTAAGAAAGAAAGAGAAAACTCGCTATTCCTTCTCCGATCCGATACTCGGCTGAACATCAACACATTGACATGATGGTTAATGACAACGGGCGGGTCGAGTACGAGATGAACGGACTCGAGCCGCTCAGGACGGAGTATAGGTCAGTGCAAAAACCACGACGAGCAGGTCAGATATTCTGCTCACCGCTGCTTTGCCGCTGTGGTGCAGCGTGCCTTTCCTGCCCCAACCATCCATCCCATGCCTGCTCCTCTGGGCCAGCCTATCCTCGTTGCCTTCCTGCGTGCTCGAGGACCCCATACAGCCCTCCCCACTAATTCATGTACTAGGTACGCCGCTCACTCAGCACGCTCACGGTGGGCAACGTGAGTCTTGTGTAGTAGCGTGCTTGAGACGCTGCCACGTTTCTCGAATAAGTGCCCTACCATCAGTATGATCAGTCCACCATTGGAGGGATTCGACTGCTTTCATACATGCCTTCTTGCCGACCAGTCTTTCTGACGAGACAGTATGGCATAGAACCAGGGAAAGGTCATGCTCCAGGGAAACCTAGGAAAGTATTCATCCGGATCGTTGGTGGGCCGAAGCTGATTGCAGTCCATTCGATACACTACACGTCCCGCGGACGGGCTGGTCAGCTTGCACGACCTTAGTGCGGCGCGTTCTGTACCTCAGCCATGGTGTGCCGCACCGTACGTAGTTCTCAATCGCCGCCGCTGGACGTGGAGCTGGCCCAGTCTGCTTCGCCTACGTACCGAACGACGATACAAGGAAGGGTTGGGGACGGACTACATGCGCAGCGGGAAGTCTGTTGAGCAACCGTCAATCGTCCATCCGGCATGGATCCTAGCCTATGGTCTCGTCTTTCGGCTGCCTTGTCTCCTAGTCCTTGCTGCGGGTGTCTTCCTCTCCACTGTCCGCCCGTCCAGCCTGCATGTGGCCAAGGTCCCGTGGGAGACAGTTGATGTGGCTGGGCACACACCCGGAACCAGCAGCTATGCATCTATCTGCACGGTGATAGGCATGGACGTTGTAGCTCCTGGCATCCTGCTAGCCCACATAGACTTGCCCTGGGCCATCGATTAGTATTACTGAGAACGTCTGACGTACTGCTGCCCGAATCGCCAACACGGCTAACTGGGTTAGTTTTCCTGGCGGCGCACTTAGGGGGAAGCTCTCCGGCGAGGGCTGTCGCTGTGGAAAGCTTCCGATGGTGGTAGGTTGGCAGGCGGAATATTGCTAGCAACAGCCCTGTTCGAGCTCATTTCTCGACGACGCGTCTCGATCATGAAGCTTTCACCGCATTCTGCCGTCCAGCCCTTATCCATGGTTTTGCCCTCTTTCTTCGTCTGATATCCATCGATTGGAGCCTCAGTCTATTGCGCTGTGCAATCTCCACCCATGGGCTTGCCGCTTGACTCGACTAGGTCAAATTTCCCTGCTCAATCGATCCGGGCTGCTTTGCCAGGTTTGCCCGGCTGGCAGGCTGCGGCATTGTCGTAGCATGTGCAGAAATATTCAAGCGCACTGTGTCAACAAGTCACTTCTTCTCCCATTGGGGTCTCCCGGTGCAGAGCGAGAACTGTACATTACATGGTCTTGGTGCTATTATTCCCGGCCACCCATCCCCACTGGAAGTGATTAAGAACGGGCAGCTTGTCTCGGTAGAAGGGCTGATCGGATTGTTCCCCACGCGCCATCAAGATTCAATCGAATGCTGAGGTAGAAATAAATGACACGTCGTCGTCGTCGTCGTCGTCGTCGCCGCGTCCATCGCCGGCTCTATGATGAGTGTCTAATATGCTTTCACCGCATGATGAGAATGTCTCTGATTAATCTCGGGGCGTACAGAGCACAGGGACAGAAATCCCTTGCTTCCAATACCACCCTTGGTCTCCAACTCGGTAACTTGCCACCGACCCCCCCGGTGAAGGGCCCAAGACTCGGCATTC